AAAAAAAAATGTTTTTCGCGGATAACGTATTATTACAACAATAGTCGTATACAATAAATTTGTKACAAAAGCAAATACATTYTGAAAACATGTCCGTAATGTTGTGAAATTGTCTCTCCCGCACGCCCTGCCCCATAAATTCCTCTTTGTTTCTGAGTWCTGACAAAAAACAATAATGTGAGCATTTCACTATAATGCTGTAGTAAGACATAATACCAACACGAGTAGGCCTATGTGATAGTAGGTACCTCCATCTGCGTGTGGCGGTCTCGTGACGTCCACTCGTTTAAAGTTTTTCGACGCGTATATTATATTATTACCAGGCGCCGCGCGCCGACTGGTAAAATAGGGCACGATAGGGTGTTAACAATTCAAAGGAAAAATAACGAAAATGTTAAGGGAAAATCAGATCAATTATATTTTAGGATAAGGGACGTTGTAGTGACCATAGTAACATCCTAGCCAGTCCGCGCCTAAATTATGTTATTTGTTATTATTTTAGGTATACCTCCTAATAGTTGTGTAACCTTTGCGAAGGAAATAATAAAAAAGGCTAAACAGATTTAACAACTACCTTAATTTATATTTAGTATAATATGATATAATATTTGTTCGTCGCGATTAAATAGTAGCTGATGTCTGGCGCGCGAGAATATTTATGCGAATTTAAAATTATATCACGCACGCCAACGCTGGCACCAATGTGTATACAKCGTTAGGTTTAGGTTAGGTTAGGTATAGGGTATCTCATGGGGATCTGACATAATAATTATGGTATAACTTTTGTTGTATTCGATATTTAAAAAAAACTTTTTTACTACATAATTCATAGACACTTGCGCTACATTTTTAGTATAAGTATTTATTTTTTAATACTGAAAATTAATAACTTAAAAATTTATGAAAATGTTTTTTTAATGAATTCAAAATTGCCTATTTGTGAATCTGATTGTAAGAAAAATGTTTATGGTAAAAAGATTTATTCAAGTTTTTTTAAATTCAATATGTTTTCAGTTAAATTAATTTGGAATCTTTTTTCAAAATATGATTTTTAAGAATTTTCTAATGSGAGTATATTTCTTAAATTATTATTTACTTATCATATAGGTAATATTAACGATTTTTGTCATATATTATGTTTAATAATTAGCATACATTTTGTTTTGTCGGTTCTTCCTGAGACACCTTGTAATGTAATATACATCTACTATTAATACCGACTACTGTCTACTACTACTACTACAACTGCAACCAAGTACATAAACTGCTACTATTGCTGACGACTGCTACACTCACTACTCCGCCGTCAAAGTTGTACAATACATATTATGATTATACAAATAACAATATAAGCGTGCTCTCGCCGGATTGTTTCATTATTTGTTTTCGGGCACGTTCCGTATAGTGTCGATAACTTTCAGAGTGAATTTTTCTCGTTAGCTTATTTTTATTGTTTTGTATACACTATACTACGATAAGTCGAACCGGGAACACGGAATTCCATTATGTGCATCTTATTAACTCGCTCGGAATGTCACTGCCTGCACTTCACCCCATCCAACTCCTCCACCGCCCCCAACATTAATGCTTTGTTTTTCCACTTCACTTTACATCACTTCAGCTTATATAACTATCCACACACACACACACACACACACTCACACATATAACATCGCATTGCTCTCTATTCGCGCAAAGTATTTCGCATACAATCCGAAAACTTTTCGGGCCTCGACATATTATACAGTCGCTGCCGCCTGCGTCTGTGTCCGACTCCTGCGACATAATATTAAATAATATATTGTACATCCTGCTGAAAGAGGACTCTGAAGAAAACCCGAGCGTTTGTGTCAGAGCGCACGAGGTACCTAATATACACGAGAACAAATTATTATTATAAGATAATAATTATACGATGCGAGTTCGTAATTGTCGCGTAGGCGGCCAAACTTTATATTTCGCTCGCTGAGCGCGGTGTATACGCGCTGCAGGATAATTCGTCAAACGCGCTCCTGTATTCGCTGGAATTAAGATTTTTCGAAATTTGTGAGGAGTTTAAAATATTGAGGATGTGGGATAGGATAGGAGTGTCCTGTGTGTGTGTGTG